GAGGGCACATTCATGACTGGTTTCCAACCAAGGTGGACTTCTTTTTTTTTCTCTTTGTGCATTCACTGTTAATTTCTTCAGCCAATCAGAATCTTTTAAGTTTGTCCATTATGTCCTGTACAGTTATGACTTAGAGTAAGATTCATATTCTCTAAAAATCTCCATGTACTTCCTTCAAACTGTGTGACATAAAAATATACCATTTCCCAGTCAAAATGTAGACGCAGAGTGTCCCAATCTATGTGCAGTACAGGATCAGAGGTGATGATGAGAATAAGTCTACAAAACGATGATATTTATGCTCATGGTGTGGTTACTTTTGTAGGTCATTATCAGCATCTGTATTAAACTTTGAGTATGTCTTATGACTTGGGGTTTAATGTTCGAACACAGGCAATGACTGTAGTGTGAGTTCGATTTTCCGGAATAGAAAGAGCACAAGTCAAAGCGTTGACTCAACATGTACACAATATGTATTCATCTGAATTATGAATAACATCGTACAGTGCACAGCTTGTCCTGTCAAACACAGGTGTAACTAATAACACTAATCATGGCTACATCTCATGTACTGAGATGTGATGTGGTGCCAGAGCTCTGGCATTAAGCATACAGGCATACAGCCAGGCTGGCATGTCTGAAAGATCATTACTGTTATTATTAACACCTGTGTTCGACAAGTCGACAATAGAGCATTTACCACAGACAAGTTCGCTGCCCTTCAATTACCCTCTCAGTCAAAATATGGATTTTTCATGTACTGCTCAATTTATTAAAGGTGGGCAAACGGGTTGCCATGATTTAGTGGACAAAACTCAACAAATTATTTACAATGGAGTCCAGTTTGCACAATACTGACTCCATAGTGAACCCGGTATATTCTGCCATATTATTTGTTTACAAAAATGCACAACAGTAAAGTTATTGTATTAAACCATCCTTATATTGGATAAATGGTTGTGTCACTGACCAGTACATGTAAAGTTGGATGGAAATCTGTCTGAAAAAGAGAGGGACTTGTTGCATCTGCCAGAGCAAATAAAACATGAGCTTGCAGATTTGTGCTGTTGTTACCGGGGGTGTGAAGCAAAAACATCAAACTCCATAATAGCATCACTGGAAACATTTATTTTAGTGGCCCACCTCATTTTCCATAGGCACAAACCCCCCCATTATTTACAGCACTATAGACCCATGATGAGTATAATGTGTGTTGACACCAGCTGTCTCTATTCAACAGGCTTCCCGAGTGTTAATTAAGTGTGTGAGGATAATGTCTGTGTTTAAGTTCAATTCATGCAAGTGATACAGGCTTGTCGTTTCACTACTCTGAGCACAGATGGTATAGTTGGTGCCAATTATTCTGATCTACATATTTTATATAATGTGGAGAGAAAAAAAATCCATACATATTATGATTTTGCATGCAGAGGCAATCTATTATCCTTGCCTCCTATGGCTTCATCAGAATGATGAATTTAAGCATTATATAAAGACCTCTTTCTTTTTATTAAGTAGGTAAGGCTGGAGGGTGTGTATGTGTGTCATCATATAACCAGCAGATGTAGACAAATCTTTTCACCGACAGCTGACAAATCATTTAATTACAGTGGAGCAAACATCCAATGAAAAACTGCAATGATGCCTTTTGATGAATGAAGCCTATGATATAACTCGGCTCTGAGTTATGCCTCTGGTCTGGGCTATAAGGGAGGGTGTTTCTCACTATAGCCTTTCAGTAATGTCACTTAATCAGCTCATCACTTTCATTTTCAATCGCACCCTCTCTTGCTCTATTTGTCTCCATTGTTATAGTCTTCTCTCTTTTGTATGCCTCCATTTATTTCTTCCTATGTCTCCTGGTCTCTCTCTCTCAGTCTTCAGTGTAACAAAGATAAACAGGTGTCTGTTAATGCCTCAAAATCTTTCTCCCTTCATTATGTTCATGCCTCCACTTCGTCTTATTCTTCGTCTCCAGTGTTCTCATGTTGTCTAGCTCCCTCACGTGCTCAGACACTTTTTCCCTCTTGCTTGCCTCTCTCTCTCTCTCTCTCGTTTCGCTCCCTCCCTCTCGCATGTTCTCTCGCTCCGCTAGACCATTAGGTTTTCTTTAACTCTGTCGCTATCTTGTCTTCTTTAACACTCGTTTGTTTCACCTCTTTGCATTTCCCTCTTAAGCTCACTCGGTCGCTCTCTATGCTCTTGCTGTCAAATGAGTTCACCTGCTGTCAGAACAAAACCAAATGCACACACACAAACACACACGTTTTATTAGTGTGAGCGCCAGTAAAGTTTGATCTGCTAAAGCACAGTCAAAGCAGTCTTTTTTCATCTTGCAAACAACTAAAATAATGGTGAAGGAGATGGAGAACCCCCCCCCTCCTCGCTCTCCAATCCACATCCTCAAGCTGAGGCGAGCGGTGCACTGATCTGTGTGTGTCTGAGTGTGTGTGTTGAGCAGTGAGGGGAAGCCTGCTGTGAGTGTGCAGCTCGTCTGTCGGCACACGTGAGCAGGAGAGAGACCCAGATGTGAAGCTAGAGACAGGAAGGGGGGGGAACGGTGGTAGGGAGGGAGGGAGGGGGATGGATGTAGGGATTATAGCGAATGTGATCAGAGCGAGCTGATCTGCCTGTCAGCAATGGTTAGAACTCCCTCACACACATGCACACACACACACACACACGTACACACGTACACACAAAAAAACACACATGACTGCATCTATTCCGACACACGTAAAGATTTGCTGAGCAGTGTTGAGCTCAGACTGGCTTATTGTGTTTAATAAACAAGGCAAACAGGCCCACATGTTTCTGGTAAAGCGCCCATCACTTGCACATTGTCATTGAGCTTCACATCCAAGTACATTAAAGGATCAGAATATCAAATTAGCTGCTTATACGATCCCTGTGGATTTGATTCTGAGAGGACAGGGGCCATGGGTGGCCTTTGCCTCGGTAATAAACGCAGCATTACTGTCTCATTAGGCAAATGTCTCCCTGGTGAAATGTATTAGAGCCACAGGTGGCTGTGTGTGCATAATGAATATTTGACATAGCAAGGAAAGATGCTTTTAACACCTCAGTGACATCTGATGATAGAAGGAAGTACATGGACCTGTAGCTTCACGACCCCCAACCTCAAGTCTTGACCACCTATATATATAGGGAGGGGCATTGCAAGTCTTAGGATATTACTGTGTCACATGCACATCTCCTATTTCTTATCACAAATCACCTGTAATCAACTCTTTATCCTTAAAGGACCAATATGTAAATCTGACACCTAGCGTTTAAAATGGGTACTGCAGTCCAAATTCAAAACAATGTGAGAGCTGTCTCCCCCTGCCCCCTGGTCCCTAGAGTCGAAGTGCACGCAAGTCGCCATGTTGCGGACACTGAAGCTTCAGTGTTTAGCCAGCTCTGAATACGTCTTGAAACCTTTCTGCATTCTAACCTCTCTCTCCAATTTTCTAAAGCATTTCCAATATTTATCGTAGTTTTACCACGTTGCTGGACACAGAGCTCATTAGAAAAATGCTGAGTCTTTTAGGTCGAGTAGAATCAGTTATATCTCAACCAAGCTTGCCCAATTTTCATCGCTGCAAACCGAGGGGCGAGGGTCTGAACGACCGTGTGGGGGCCCCGTCTACTTCTCTGGTCAGCACAAAAACAAACCATTCCGCACCGGAATCGAAATTTAGAAGGAGAACATACTGGCTGCTGCTTTGTTGTCAGACAAGCCATGACTTCAACATAGCAAGTTTCCTTAATATCTGATGATATAGTAAGGTTGTTTTATGATTTAATTCAGTAAATGTCTTACATATCTGACCTTCAACGAAAAAAATATCCACAATAATTACCGGTACCCATAACTATTTACAGTTTCTTTTCAACCACTGACCAGATAAAGAATTGTGACAATTACAATAATACTTATTCGTCAGGTTGAACTTATTGTCTGCTTTCTATTTCAACGTTGGATCTTTAAGGAAACTGGACTTTAAGTTCTTGAAGATATTTTACTGCTCATCCAAAGCCGCTTGGATCACCCTTAGACTTATTATGGCCTGGACGACTAGAAACCTTCACAAAAAGTTCTCTATTGTGATTCAAGTCTCATTAGTGTCCCTGGATAAATAGTATTAATACTTACAGTTAACAATATATAGCCTACATATTTCTATTTCTGCTTTTGTTCCTAACATTTAACAATGGTTGTTTGTTTCCTTGCACGTACTTCTCAGTGTTTATAAAAGATACAACAAACATGTGAACATGTCACTTTGGACCGCGTCTCAACACGTCGTAGAGCCATTAAGAACACCTCTCACTGTACAAAAGATGCTCTCATAAGTTAAGTTAGGCAGGAGTGAGGGGCGTGGCTTTATGAGGGAGCACAGAGGGGAGGGGGTTGCTGCTGACTAAAATCATGCTAGTTTTCCAGAATTACCAACCCTGCCTTTCAATCTGCATCAAAGAAAACAACAATTAAATATAATAAAGTTTGACCAAAAAAAACTGGATGGCTGATGTTTGTTTTGAACTTAGCAGCAGCAGCAGCTGGTCAGATATTTGAATATTATTCACTTTGCACACTGTCTCACTTTATACTGACGCATACGTTTTGGTCTAACCGACCTTCATGTGACCTTTCTTATCGTTTTTTTATTAATCACTGCGATAGATATACTAACATTATTATTTTGTTTTTTAAATACTTTAAAACTGTCCAACATCCCAATCTTTCTTTCATATTGTCTGCATATGAATATATATTTTCACTCCTGGCACTGTGCTCTAATGCAGTGGTTCTCAACTGGTGGGTCGGGAGCCAAAAGCGGGTCGTGGAGCTGTTTTCAGTGGGTCAGGAAAGGGTCAAAAAGTCTGTGAAGCGCTTTGTTAACGTGTTTGTTTGGTACAGTTTCTTGCATCTGTCACATGTTTTGTACCGTCTCAGATCCAAACTGCAGAATTTTTCATTAAAAAAAATTGTATTGGTTTAAACAATTCTGAAATTTGGGTCGGTTTCCTCCTGGAGGTGTTGCTGGTGGGTCCTGAGGCTGGACGAGTTGAGAACCACTGCTCTAATGTGTTGTGTGGTTTGATGCTTTTCCAAGGACAAGATTCAATTCTGGTCAAAAAGAAAAAAAATTAGATCACAAAAGTAAATATATTATTAAATTTCTGCCTTGGTAGTACATCAAAATTGCCCCGTTCAGAAGAAGAACTCCTGTTTTGCTGGTTGCATGATTTAACAAAATCCCAAAAATCAAATCAAATTAAATATAGAACTCTTCTCATGAAAGAAAATACATTATTATTTCTGCAGTGGATCAGGGTCCTTAAACATGTATATAAACTTTTTGCATCCATGGCTACGTTTCCCTTTTCTCGACTTCTATCTGTATGTCCATGTCGTGTGGAGTTAACATCTATATATTGGCCTTTGTACACCAAAAAACTAAGAGTAAATGTACGACGACAGGACACGAGAGAAGTCTTCATATCTTCAGTGTGTGAGCGTGTTTCTTGCAAAGAGGTTTGTCTCTCTTGGAGAAGAAGGACTGGCCCTCCAGAGTGGTGCAGCACACCTGAGAAGGAGGACACACAAAGATACACAATGATGCTTAAGAAAAATCTTACAACATTTAAATTACAAAAGTAAAAAATAATTGGAACTTGCTTAATGTATGTATGAATTACTTACATGTTTATATTTCTTACTCATTGTAGATTTCTTTATTCATATTGTGTAGCATATTTGTATTGTTGATACATACCTCGTGAATAAATGCAGTATTTTTGATTCTGTTCTTGATAAAGTCTGAATAAACATAACGAAGCATAATGAAGCTTTCACTCACAGCGCAGACGAAGCAGGTGTCATGCCAGGTGTAACCGAGGGCATCCAGGAACTTGTCTCCAGCCTCGATTGGGAATTCACAGCCATGGCAGCTGGTCCCATACAGGCTGTAGAAGTCTATTTGACAGACAAAAGAAGAGGGCATACATTACATGACCGATTCATAGTTACCAATTGTAATGGCTAATCAAATTGTAGAAGTCTCAACAGAGTTAGTGGTCGATTAACTGTGCCGCAGCGGAGTCCCAAGAGTTTTCATTAGATCTAAACGCTCTGAAGATTAACTTGATTAAAGAGCTTAACCAGAGCTAACTATGACTCTTCTGTAAGTGATTGTTGTGACCCTGTTTACACCTGGAACCAACATGTGTCCTGGGAGATCAAATCAAGGACCCCCATATAGCATCAACCTCTGGTGGGGACCCCCTTGAGAATTTTTTTTCTAAATTCCTTTTTTACGTCTTTAATTAATTTGCCGTCCTGGCGATGTAAACAAACTGAAGATAGGACTCTGAAAACTCTGAAAACATCACAGACAGTGGGACTCGGGTGTTACACCCATTGTAGACAGTCATGACTCACAGAGTTATTTTCAGAGGATATACTTGATTTATATTACATTTAAGTGTGAAAAATCACATATAAAGCTTTTAAGGACCACCCAATTTCCCCGTATCCATGGCAACGCTCATGTGGAGTTACAGGCCACTCACCTGTCACATTTGCCTGATTTAATAATC